CATCCGGCGTGGCGTAGCTGTGCCCGTCATTGGCGTAGACGCGATTCGCGTTCGCCTGCTCGTCTTCGCGGAACTGTTGGTAGAAGATGACGTCTCGCGCGTTCTTAACTTTTTGACTCATGAGGACCAAGATGAGCCACGCTTTGTACTCGTGGCTAAAGCCGAGGTGGATTCCCCAGCGCGCGCGGCTCCTAAACTTGCCAATAGTCGACGTTGGCGGGCGATACTGCACCATGCACCCCCACACGCGGAGCATGGAGGTGTCGCCCTTGGTCCCTGTCCATTTCACATGTGGGGAGAGGTTCCCGGTGATAGCGGTGGTTGACAGTAGGTTGTGCACCCGCACGGCATGGTGCATCGCGTAGGTCCAGTAGGTCGGCGGAAGTTTTGACTGCTTCATCAGCGCCCGCACCTTCGTCATGAGGGTGCCATTCGTGCGCTCAGCTATACCCTGCTGCTGGTGCACGTAGGGGAGGGAGATATGGTGCTCGATCCCCTTCTGTGCGAGATATTCCTACAGCTCCTTGCTCCTGAACTCCGCCGCGCCGTCAGATTGCCATATCTTCAATTTCTCCCCAAACTGCCGCTGCGCGTGTGCCAGCCAGAGACGAAACACCTCGTACGCTCTGCTGCGTGCCTCCACGTTCACGACCCACACGCACCGCGTTCCAGCGTCGACGAAGGTGAGCGTATACAACTCGTCGTCGATTCCGCAATGTCCCACATTGAGGAAGTCGCTGTACACTTTTTCCAGCTTAGCGTAGCGGTTGGTTCCAGGTTCGAACGGGGGGAAAGGCTGGTGGCTCAGCGCGGCTTCGGGGCAGACGGTGCAGGTGCGCGGATGTGTTGCGTCGCTCACTTTGAGGCCATAGGAGTGCGCCAGGCGCGAATACGCCAGCTTCGATGCAATTCTTCAGCGTGATGCGCGAGGGGTGGCCGAGGCGCTGATGCCAAAGCGCATCGTCGGCGCGGAATCTGGAGGTGCGCATGTAGCGGGCGCGTGCTGCTTTGGGGTCTTCATCAGGTACTGGAGCAGGTTCAGCTTCTTCTGCTTCTTCTTCCCCCTTTTGGTCCTCACGGGAGGCTCCCCAGCCTTCGCCAGAGGTGCCCCAGCCGCTTGTCTCGCCGCCAGATGCGGCACCCCACCCGCCAGTGTTTCCGCCGGTTGCTGCTCCCCAACCGCCAGCGCTTCCCCACCCCCCTTCATTGGACGCACTCTCCTCTTCGCCCCATCCGCTCGAGGCGAATGTTCCGCGTGATTCCGCAAGACTCCGTTGGCGAAGCTCTTCCGCTTCGCGACGCACCAATTCTTCTTCTTCCGCGACGGTGAGTTTCGCCGTGGGATCGCGCCAGTGGGGGTAGATCTCCATGAAATTTTCCTTTGTGTAGGGTCGCAGGAATCCGTCTGCGTCGAAGGTGCCGACGTTGACGCCGCGCAG